CTCAGTCCTTGTATCTATGGATGTGATCCTGTTTACAAACAGGGCTTTTCTTTTGTATTGTTAATAAAATCAGACCAGTGTAGGCTGGATCCTAAATCTAATCACGTCTCAGTTATAAAAGACCAGAACAGATGCAGGTGCACAGACACTCAGAGGATAACAGTGCTCTGTTAGGACTGTCTCCAAGAAATGCCAAGGAACCAAGGAATGCCCAGTGCTACTAATAAAGGAGGAGCTCTGGTAGCGTAGTGGTTACGAATCGGGCTGCGAACCTTAAGGTCAGCGGTTCGAAACTACCAGCTGCTCCACGGGAGAAAGATCAGGCTTTCTACTCCCGTAAAGATTTACACCCTCGGAAACCCTGTACAGGGTCGCTATGGGTCGAAACCGACTTGACGGCACTTAACAACAACAACAACTAATAAAGGAGTCCTGGTGTGGTGCTGTAGGATAAGCACTGGACTGAGAACAGCAAGGTAAGTGGTTCAAACCCACTAGCTGCTCCTTGGAAACTATACAGTCACTATGAGTTGGAACCAACTCGACAGCACTTAATCAAGAAGGAAGGAATTGACATGGCCAAGACCAATTTTTACTTTTAGCCTCCAGAACTGTGATAGTGTAACTTTGTTCTCTTAACCTTTTATTGTGATTTGGATGAAAATTTACAAATTGGTTTTCTACTCACACATTTTGATTTGGGACAGAACTGCCCTCCCCACAATGTAACAGCACTCTTCCCATTTTCCCCATGTGTTAACCATTGCCCTCCAACCTTCTTTTCTATGATCCCTTTCTGCCTTCTGAGATTTAACCTAGGCAAATACTGTGCTTTGGTTGGTTGTTCTAAGGAGTGTGTACCTCCTTAGTGTTAATGCTCATCTTATACTTGTGTCTCTTGTTTAGCTTACAGTTGCATCATGGGGGTGAGTTCACTTCCAACCTTAAAGGGTGTTAAAGGGCCATAGTCTTGGGGGTAGATTTATATTCTTTTAAGACCACTCATTTGAGGTATTTGTCACAGCAGCAGTAGGTAGCTGAGACATCCCCATTTCAACGTATCACTTCTGTATTCCCAAATCAAGAATCTCTGGTTCAATTTTTCCAAACTCTTATAGGGTGGAACAAGGGCTAGTCATCTGGCCACACTGTTCTGGGCTTCTTATTCAGACTTGGACCAATTCCCTTGTTTTCAACTCATTTCTCATTTCTGCCTTTCATGGTAAAAAGGTTTGGAAAAACCAATAGCCTTAACCTCTCATTAACATTCCCATTCAGAAATTTAGATTTTTAGCTTCTTTCCCAATCTATAAACACTTTTAGCCCTTGAACCTATTGATGTGATCCACAAGATTTTTACCATCCAAAAATTTGACCCCTCTCCTCTTCCACCGTACCTTCTTCTGTTCTTTTCACCTTTGTATGATGTGATATAGTTAAGGTTTTATGTTGACTGTGACTGGGAGGATTCTTAGTGGCTTGGTATATAAGATGTGGTTACCCCCATGGTGAAATTTAATACACTGTAGTTAACTCTATGGTGATTGGCTATGAGCAGCAGCCAATCAATTGAAATGATGTTTCCTTGAAGGTGTGGCCTGCTTCCAATATTATAGCCACTCAGGCAAAGTTTGCTTGCTTTCTGCTGGGTTTGGTTCTTTGGACTTGAGTCAGTGTTCTGCTCTATTGTTTGCTTGCCAGATCTGCCTGTTGCCAGACCTGTCTGTTGATCATGGTTCATCTGACCTGGACTTGGGACTCTCACCTCTACGATTGTGAGCCATTTCCTAGATATAAAGTTGTACATGTATACAAGTTTTACTGGTTTTGCTTCTCTAGAGGACCAAGCCTAAAACATATGGATTATTTTTTAATACGCATTTTAATGGCAAATTTACTTTTCTATTTTCCTTAATTAAAGTTAATAAGTATCTCTACCACTCATTAAAATGATACATACGTATTGTGGGGGAAAGTTTTTAAAATGGAAATTATAAAAAGAAACAATTGTTGATGTATCCTGGTGCCATTTGAACTGCAAGGTCGGTGGTTCAAGCTCACCAGCTGCTCCTCAGAAACTCTATACAGGGTCACTATGGGTTGGAACCGACTTGATGGCACTTCACAACAACAACCATCATATACATTTAGATTTATTTCCTGCTAGTCTTGATTTAGAAAAATTGGAGTCAAGGTTTTCTCTTTTCACGCTTATTTTGTGAGTACCTCCTTTCATCTAAATAATTTTAATATATCCTTAATAGATTCACCCCTATTTATCAAGTAATTATACTGTAATTTAGCTATTTCCCTATTATTGTACATTTAGGTTATTTCAAGTTTTCACCATGGTTTAAAAAAAATGCGGCAATGAACACCTCTTAACTGAAATCTTTGTATTTGAGTAAGTATCTGAGTTTCTTAAAATAGAATCCAGTGAGTGGGCTGAGGAATTTCTGGGGTTGTTTTTGCTTTCTTTTGGGAGATGTATTTTTATTTGCGTGAAAGTTTATAGAGAAAACTGGTTTTCCATTCAATAACTGATAAACATTTTGTTTTCTGCCTTTGATTACAATCCCTACAATGTCACAGCACTCTGTCCACTCCTCCCTACCCCTGTGTTTATGGTTTCCCTTCGCCCTTCTTTCTTACCCTTTCCTGCATTCTGAACTTTCTACCTGGGCGAATAGGCTGTCCTTTTGATTTCATATTGGGGACTGTTCTAAGAAATGCTATCTCCCCGATGTTACTGTTCACATTATAGGTCTACTGTTCGAGGTTTTCATTTAAAAATAATACCTCATTGTATTTTTGTGAACGTTTACACAGCAAATTAGTTTCATTTTTAAACAATTCTACATTGGTTTTGACACTGGTTGCATTTTTCACACTGTGTCAACATTCTCATTATTTCTGTTCTAGTTGCTCCATTTCCGGTACTCTAGTTTTCCTATCATCTTACCTTTCTAAGCTTTGTTTTAGAGTCACTGTTGACGATTTGAACTCAGAGAGTTGTTTCAGTTTTATTAAACCAATACTGATCGAAAAATCCTTCAAAGGCTCTCCATGGCTTTAGGACATAGTTCAAGCATGACTGCCTGAAAATGTTTCCTCAGACTCAATACCATGTCTTATTATTATAGAACTTTCTAGCCTGTCTGGTTTTTTAACGGGTCTCACAGATCTTTGATGACAGGGGCAGTATTTGCCACACCAGAGTCTGATGTACCATGTGGCTCTCTCAAGGCTTAACAGATGTTTGTTGACTGAGTGAAGGTTTAGCTAGGTGAATTGTAGTAAGTGCTTCAATTTGGTTGGCAATTTTTCTTAATCTTAGTTGCCCCAACATTCTACTCTCAACTGGATTATTGAGAACGTCAAATGAAAACACATCAAATATCTTGTAATCTATAAGTATTTCTTGTGCAGCTTGGTTTTTTGATGAAGTAGGGATTTGATACCATTGCAATGCACACCATGTGTATGAACTTGTCTTTTTGGACCCCATCTGGTAGAATCATTCTCCCCTTTCCCGACTATCTGGTACATCACTGCTCAGCTAGTAGTCACTGCAGTAGTTGGAAAGTGTCCCTCCCAAGTGTGGATCCAGGAGAATGCTCACCAATGTGTCTTTTTCTGGGGAAACACATTGCACACAAGTTAGTCCTCATCTTAAGGTAATAAATATATTTAACACAATTTCTGACTTACAATATTAATGTATAAATCCTTCTAAAAATTCATCTGTATACACTGGTTTATCAAGTACCACATGTTTATAGTGGAAGTCAAGGATAAATGCTACAATTATGTTAAGAAGGATTCAATGTTACTGTTATTGTTGGTGACAATTAGATATTAAAGGAAAAATGATGTAGTTAAGTGAATCAATATGCAGATGTTATATTGCAACCCATTACACATAATAAAATTACCTTTAGAGCTTAAAAGCTGTTCAAAACATAATTAATGGGAGCATAAAGATAGGGCTTAAATACATTTCACAGGAAGTATAGGGTAGCAAATGTCACTGTGGTTTAAACAAGAGGGAAAAAAAGCCCCAAATGTAGGTTGAAATATTCCCAGATGGTCACTTCTAGTTTTTGGTTTCTGGACACATAATACTTAATGTTGTTGTTGTTGTTAAGTGCCGTCGAGTCGATTCCGACCCATAGCGACCCTGTACAGGGGTTTCCGAGGGTGTAAATCTTTACAGGAGTAGAAAGCCTCATCTTTCTCCTGCGGAGCAGCTGGTAGTTTCGAACTGCTGATCTTAAGGTTCGCAGCCCGATTCGTAACCACTACGCTAACAGAGCTCCTTATAATACTTAATAGTCAGAAGGAAATTAACCCAAAAGAAAGAAACACAGTATGTAGCAATTAATAAAAAGATTGGTTTCCCTGGCCCAATAGCTACAAGGTATACACTTAAAACAAGCAAACACCTTCTGCCCACACAGAGTAAAATAACCCTTAGTACTGGTCGGGTCCATGAGCTGTAGCTTCTGAAAGTAAAGCCACTTTACTCTCCCACCGCCCTGGTCCTCCTGTGAGAACTGTGGGACATCTCAGAGAGGGGACAAGCCAAAACCATAGTCACAGAGTAGCCTTATTTCACTGCTGTCAAGGGTTAATTCTAATTCAGTAAGATGGGAGAGATTTCAGTTATTCATAAATGTATTGCTTTTCATAAGAATTTTAAAACCATATTTCACTAATTCTTAAAATGACTCAACAGCTAAAAGAAATAAATGGATAAAGAGTTCAACCAAACAAGACGATCAACCTTTATCTGGTTCTAAAGATCCTGTATCTAAGTATGATTAAAAGATTGTAAGATGGGCAGACTCACTCTAATTTTTAAAAACTCTTGTAAAATTTATTCCCTAAAGTGGAGAATCCTGAAAATACGGATTTAAAGAGATGCACAGTGCAACAACTCTACTAAATATAAACTTTCTATATCCCTTTATTCATAAAACAGACAAAGGCATCAATCATTGTTTGCTAGTTTTATTATTTTTCAATGTTCCCAACACATGAACTATGTATGACTCATTTTGAGATTTTTCTTTTTTTCAGTGCATTTCACAGCAAAAATGAACAAGGGAGTCATTAAAATGGTTGTGCATAAACCAATTCTTTTCCTTAAGACTTATAATTTGATGAATAAATTTCAACGTTTTCATTCTACTAAACCCTTTAATAAAACACAATTTATCAGAGCACAAAGCTGAAACTTATGACGATGCAATCGCCACCGCCACCTACAATGGCCGGTGAACAAGGGTCTATTACACACACATTGATTGGAAGACCACATTGGAAGGATCAGAGTAAGGCACCACTCTTGGAAAATTAAGGAAGCTTGTAGTAACAAATGTTGAGCACCTTCTGTAGGTGCTCAATAAACACTTGAAAGAATGATGGAAGCTATAATTAGCACTATTCTTCTAATTGCCAGTCAGTTTTCAACCTCAATAAAATACTATTTTAAAAAAGATGTGTACCTAAATACAATTTCCTCATATTTTATTTCATACTCTTTCTTCAGCTTTTAAGCTTCTTTGAAAAGAAAATAAGACTATACCTTGCATGCTCTCAGTCACAGGGATAGCTTCTGAATTACTGACAAATATGAATAGTTGTTTCAAATTTTGAGTGAAGAGAGGTTAAGATCGAGCATACTTATCCAGGGGGACAGCACATAATACTGGATAGTAATCTACAAGCAAAACAACAACAAAAAAGGAAGGGAAAAAGTAACAGTTTTATTTATATTTTTTAAAACGTTTGCTATTGTCTATGCCTTAAAGTTCTTGAAAGGCTGAAATCTCATCATATCAACATGAACGAACACATTTAAAAAATTGTCTCAAGTGTAATATTTAATAAAACTAGATAGTGAAAAATGTTCTGGATTTTTCAAGTCAATGCTGTTTTCAAGTATATTAAAATGTTCTGAAGAAAAAATTCTCCATGGTTATTAATTCTAATCACTTTATAAATAGCCTTTTAAAAAGAGTTCCAACAGAGGTGGATCATGGGTAAGCTCCTCAAACACAGGCACATACTGTCTTTCTGAAGGAACAGAATGCCTTGTCACTACAACCTGGTTGGTTTGTTTTAACACTGATCTCAGGCACAATGGCTGAATCCACTTCTGTGGTATCGTCCTCCTCCTCTTGGTCTGTTTATAAGAGTAGTGAATACTTCAGCTACTGACAGAAAGCAAAGCACAAACTCTGAAAGAGACTTCACTTTTTACTTGAAAGAAATAATTAAGAAATCACTGGGTTTTCATTGTTGTATGTATCTGCTGCCACTACGCAGAAATAGGGGATTCAAATTTAGCTGTAGGTGCAGGAACTGGACAAAGGATTAATTGTCTAGTAATTGAGGCAAAAGTTTTCATATGCTATTGCTCACATCACATGAAACAAGTTGATGAGAGGTCCGTTGTGCCTCACCCACACTTTGGTCTCGCGGCAGTCCTGCCGTGCCCTTGAAGGTACATTCGTTTTTTAGCTAGTGTCAGTTTGTCCAATCAGGAAGCAGTTCACGCAGTGCAATGACTCTGTTCTTGGGGGTGAAGGGTAAACAGAGAAGAACCTCACTGGGTTGAGTCTTACAAAGTGGGTGTCACTCCACTGGTTGTGCTGCTGAAACTGTTTTCCAAAGGGGTTTGTGATAAACCCAGCCATCTCCCTGGAACAAGTAGAAAAATAAATCAAATAATAATTTCTCTAATATTTTCCAAACCAACAATCCAAACTAGAAGTAACACCACATTCCTCAAAATATATGTTTCTTCTCCAGAACCTCCATGTCTCTTCCAACTTATTTATATCTTTATTTTATATTTATGTCCTGGTATGGCGCTGTGGGATAATGCACTAGACTGAAAGGTCAGCTTGAACTGCAAGGTCTTTGGTTCAAACTCACCAGCTGCTCCTTGTAAACTCTATACAAGTCAGGACTGACTCAACGGCACTTAACAACAACAACATACATATGAGGGCAAGTCAAAAAGTATTGGTGCAAAACCGTATTTTGGTGAAATATATCAAAATGTGAAGCTACTGCTTCTAAACATATCCTCCACCTAGATCTATATACTTTTTTTTTTAAATTTGGGCAAAAGTTTACAGTGCAAATTGATTTTCCTTCCAGTCAATAATCCATACACATTCTGTTTAGAGACATAGGCTGCAATTCCCACAATGTAGACACACTCTTCTCACTTCCTATGTCTACCATTTCTCTTCATCCTCATTTCCTATACCTTCCTGCCTTCTGCGCTTTGTTAATGTTGTTGCTAAGAGCCATCAAGTTGGTTTCAACTCACAGCGATCCTACGCACAATAGAAGGAAACACTGCCTGTTCAGAGCCATCCGTAACAATTGTTAAGCTTCAGTCAATCCATCTAGTTGGAGGTCTGTCTTCCTTTTTTTCAGTGACCCACCAAGCATGATGTCCTTCTCCAGGGACTGGTGCCTCTGAGCTTTATCCTGGTTAAATGCTGCCCTTTTCATCTTCTATGGTTGAGTGTTCTAATGAGTACCCACACTAGCAAGTGTTTTGTTCAGAGATACTTTCATCTTCTCTAACCCTTCACCAAAGAATTCTGTGTTCTTCAATGTACATCATGTCAAAATGGGATTTTGGAATCCTCAAGGGAGTCAAATCGTGTTCCTTTTCAATGTTGAGTTTTGGGATCAAAAGAGGTCTGAAGGAGCAAGATTAGGGATATAGGGTGGATGAAGTAAGGTTTCCCAACAAAATTGTTATAGAAAAGCCTTTACTACCCTCAAAGAATGAGTAGGTGCCCATGATGGAAAAAAATTATCCATCAGAAATTTCCTGTTTTTCTTAACAACGTAGTTTTTACATTTCTTAAAACTTCTTAATAAGTCCCCATAATCATATCATGCCTGGCAAGAAAATCTGTAAGATTTTAGAACTCCAATAATAGTCGTCATAACCTTCTGAGTTAACTTCTAAGCCGTGAATTTATCTGGCCCAGCAAATCCCTTTGGAAACTACTGTTTTGACTGGCCCTTTTGTTTGAAGGCACCCTAGCGAGACTAAGACAAATAAATTACACAGAGAACTTGTCTGCAGCCATCCACTGATCATAATTAAACACATTTTATTTGGACATAATTAAACACATTTTATTGGAACAAATCTGTGCATGTATGAACTGGAATCCTAGCACCAATAAATTGTGACTTACCTTGTGATTTACCCTACCATGTTCAGGACAGCAAATCTTGGCTCCACAGCAAACATAAAATCACCAGTTGCAGTGGAGTGGACTTTGACTCATGACAAACCTGTGTGTGTCAGGGTAGAACTGTGTGCTCCATGGGGTGGGTTTCCAATGCCTGATTTTTTGAAAGTAGATCACCAAGGGTGGTCTCAAACCTCCAACCTTTGGTTAGCAGCTGAGTACTTTTAAGACCAAGAGTATAGCTAGTAACTGTAAGATGTTTATTACATGAAATCGCCTGGCTGGTAACTCTCAATATAGACATTATTCTTTGAAAAGGCTACCTGTCCCCTTATAACATTACAGAACACTGATTCAGAAGTTAGAACCGATGAAGACACTGAGTCTCAGGGCAGTGAAATGAGCCACCTAACTTTACCCAGGAAGGGGGTAGAGCTCTTTTTAATGTACCCTTGCACATACTTTCTTTTAAATCTTTACTATTGATATGTTTACCCACATTTTACAGATGAAGAAACTGAGGCGAGAAGTAGTAAATAAATTATCCAAAGAGATGTAATTCAGACTGGGTACACTGGACTCTAACGCTGTCCACTGTTTCATAAAGCCTTACTGATGGTATTTATAGACAACTTCAGAAAATGTAAACAGTCATGAGAATTTAACCAATAGATTTAACTAACAGACACATACAATAACAAAAGGGAAAAAATGGAGATGACACTTTACGCTGATGCACTAGAGGTAACAAAATGTATTTTTCAATAACATACAATTCTTCTTAGCAAAGAGCCATACATGATGTTCAGAGCCCCAAAATGTGTAAAGGTCCTTATGATGCCAGGTTGGCTGCCATCCTCCTCAGCCTCACATGGACTTCCAGGGCACGCTCACATCACAATCCAGTCACACACAGGAGGAAACCTGGCTGCTCAAGAGCTCATGGAATTAATATGGTGACCTTTCCCCACTGTGCCACAGTATACCATGCATCTCAGTACCCAGAGGATCTAAACCTGATTCTGAACCTTCAAGCTACTCTTCTATCAACTTTAGACGATGCAAGTGGAAAAATTCATTAGACCATGCAAGTTGAAAAATTCATTATCTTATTAGACAACCATATTTTGCTACCACTTTCTACATCTGCCTGTGTAACATCACAGTGTGATTAAAAAAAGAAGAAGACACTAAACTAGTTGTCAGGAGATCTAGGCTCTTGTTCTAGACCTGCAACTGACCCTGGGCAAGTGAAATAACCAGATCTAAATCAGACCACTGTATAAGGGATATGTGGATAGTGCTGCCTTGGATTTTATGGTGCCTTTATTCTAAAACAATTCAAAACATGTCTGTATGTACCTATCTCATCTTCATAGTTCCTGCCAGAGATTAGGGAATATATTGTACTCATTTTAAAGAAATAAGCAAATTTATGTACAGTGGGGTAAAAGGCTCACAATAAACTTATAAATCTGAGGTATTTTGCCTGTTCAGAGAAGTTGCTGTTGTTAGGTGCCGTCGAGTCAGTTCTGACCCATAATAACCCTATGTACAACAGAACGAAACACCACCTGGTCTTGCGCCAGCCTCACAATTGCTGCTACACTTGAGCCATTGTACAAAATGTGAATATAGATTTTGGGAGATGGGTAACTGGAATCATCAACACGCTAAAATTCTATGTAAAACGAATGGTGGCAAATCTCCCTCTGCTCCATAGACGTTCCTCCTAAGGGATCTCACCAGTTTCCATGAATGTAGATGTCTACGTGCAGTAACACTTGAATTCCCACCTCTGGCCCAAACCTTTCTACTAAATAACAGGTTTTATAGCCAATTGCTGTTTGACAGAACCATTTGGTGTCTCCCAGAAGCTGCAAAATTTAAATGCCCAGCAGTGGATTTTTCTCTTCAAAACTGCTCTTTTTCCAAAACAGTGGCACCACCACCTACCAGGTTGTATAAGCCAGATAAATGGTACAAAACTCATGGCACCAAACATTCTCCCATAACACGTCTACCTCTCATCTGGGCTCAATAATCCACGGTAATGGCCCCTCACACACCATACTCACAGTTATATGGGGTTTATTAGGGAAGTTAATAGGTTACAATTCAAGGTCAGAAATGCTCAGGGCACAGTTGTTACAGTCAGAGTAACCTCTCCTCTGCCATGCCCACACGCAGGCCTGTCTCTGCCTGGCTGATGTTGCAAAGCTCTTTTAGGGCGATGATAAATGCCCATAGAGCACATCACTCCACCAGAAGCCTCAGCCTGAAGACATTTGGCTCTAGCTCCTTGGGTCTGCAAACCTAGGCTCCTCAATTAAGTGCCTGGAGGCACCCTGCTCTACAAGCAAGCCTCCTGTCCAAAGTCATTCAGCTTTACTTGCTCCATGGGGAGGGACACTGCTTTGTCTCTGATACTATTGCTCCTCTGCCACTCCTCAGGTGCAACTGCTTTCTGTCCCTGGGCCAAGATTCAGTGCACAGGGATCCCGGGGTCCAAGACACGTACTCCTGCCTGGCTCTTTTCTGTTGATGGTAGAGAAATACCCCTCTGCTTCTGTGATAGTTCCTTTTGTACCCATGCTAGAGTTTCAAGTTTTTACAATAACAATGAACCTTGTTAACATCTACAGAAGAATCATGTCACCCTATCTGTATCTTCTCCCACCTTCTGTCACACAGACCCAGCCAGGCAGAAACCTTGTTTGGTGTAACAGACTTTGGCTAGAAGAGACTTTACATAATTCACTACATCACACCTGGCAACCTCTGACTCTTCACCCAATCCATCACTGAGTACTGCTGATTATACCTTGTGGGGTATTTATATTAACTTTACCCCAATCATTTGATATTTGTCCTTAATTCCTGGGTAAAAAGAACAAACATTATTTTAAAAGATGTCCTTTTGATTCTTCTCGCGTATCCATTTAGATATTTAAGTAGTAAAAGTATCCAGGGCAGTGCTAAATAAGTTCTATTTGCGCTGGTTCCCGTAAGTATCAAAATTTTCACCACCACTCTCTTGCTACGATTACAGGCAACAAGCCTCACAGCAGGTACCTTCTGATCCCTTACTGATTTCTATCTTAGTGGTGGTAGTGTGCCATGGAGTCAGTTCCGATTCATAGCGACCCTGCACAGGGTTTCCAAGGCTGTAAATCTTTATGGGAGCAGAAAGCCACATCTTTATCCCGCAGAACCTCTGGTAGTGTTGAACTGCTGACCGTGATGGTAGCAGCCTGACTTGTAACCACTACACTACCAGAGCTCCTTTCTATGTTAGTGGTACTCAGTATTCTGACCATCTAGGTTTTCATCTTCCCTGTAACTTCTACAATATATTATGGGTTTTAAAGTACGGTAACTATGGCAAAAATTATAATCAGATTACTTTTTCCAGATTTCTTTCTGATGGACCATTATTAAAATTCAAATGGTTTCCATTAGACTTGGCTACAGACTTACAAACCTTTCTGATTTCAGCTCATGTCCACTATTCACCTTATTCTGAATTCTACCAAATAGCACTAAACAACAACTTTTTTTTTTTTTTCAGGGATTATAGTATAGTCTTAAGATTTATTGTTCCTTTAAGTCTTTTTTTTTTTCTTTTAATGTGGATGAGGTGAAGGTTTACAAAAGAAGAAAAAAAAAATCAGTTTTCCATTCTACAAATCATATCATCTTGATTGCAATTTACCCCACTTCCTTCTTTTATTTTCTGTTGCTAAGCCTTTCCTAGCCTTTCTAAACTTTTTCTTTGGAAAACATTGCTCTTTTGATTTCAAAGGGTTGATTATTCTAAGGTATAAATACTTCTCCAATGTTATTGTTCCCTTATAGATCTGTTTGTTGTCTGGCTGAAAATTAAGTCATGGAGGTGAGTTCCTTTCCAGACCTGAAGGTGACTAAAGGTCATTGCCTTGAGAGTACCACCATTTTCTATATGACCAGTAAGCCTGGTCGTTTTTATGATTTTGAGTTTTGTTCCACATTTTTCTCACTCTATCCAGGACCTTCTAATATGATTCCTTTCAGAGCAGTTGGTAGTGGTAGCTGGACATCACCTAGTTTTTCTCCTTCTAGGGTCATGGAAACTGATGTTCATGTGGTCTATTATCACGTGGAACTAATTTTTATCACTTTTCCTTCCTACAGACAAGGAGAAATCAATAATTTCACCTTAGATGGCTGCTCAGGAGCTTTTAACACTCCATTTGCTGTTTAAGATTATAGGATGTAGAACACTGCCTTTGTGGACTATGTATGCCACTTGAAACCATGGTCCTGAGCCCCTGGAAACAGGGACTGATTCCCTCAAGGTGTTTGGTTATGCTTAAGACAATTATGTAACTTTGCCCTCTGCATAGGCCACCACATTCTTGAATATATTTGCAGCAAAGGTAAATACACATGTATGAATATCCTCGTCAAACCTATTAATGGGTATATATCATTTCTCTCTCTCATACCCATTCAGTCTTTGTGGCTACCCATGTATGTACTCATAGATCATTTACATTACAAGATTGTATATATCTTGTATATATGTTTTGTTTGGCACATCAGAACTTGTATTTATAAACTATAGGCTAAAATTTGTTCAGTGAATGGGAAGATAGAAACTGCTGGATAAAGTAAAATGAAGCAGCCCAGATTTTAGTGTCAAAAGAGTTGAGGGAAAAATCCAGCTGTGACTATACGCAAAATAATTTTTCTGAGATTCAGTTTCTGCACAAAAACATTTTCAAATCCTTAAATTTAGAAAAAAATTCAGAAGACATTTATTGCAACTTCAAAGTCAGTGTATAAAACTCTTCTACAATATCCATGGTCACTGCTTATATAGTCTAGCAACTGGATGACGTTATTAGAAGGACTATCTTGTTATACTTGGATGTTTTTGGTTGTTATATAATTCAGTTCTTATGCTAAGCTGCAAATCTGCTTCCTCGTATCCAAACAGAAAATTAGTTTTCTACATGATCTGTGTTGCTGTCAAGTTGGTTCTGACTCATAGTGACCCTACAGGACAGAGAGCTGCCCCACAGGGTTCCCTAGGCTGTAATTGTCTCATTGTTCTCCTGTGGAGAGGCTGGTGGGTTCAAACAGCTGACCTTCCAGTTAGCAGCCTGGAGCTTAACCACTATGCCACCAGGGCTGGCTCTCTTTCTACATAAAATTATTATATATTTGAAAAAAGTTGTAATAAATGCCTCTAATTTTATGTTTCCTAGGCTAGACATCCTCACTTCAGTATTTTTTCTTAGATGATACAAAGCTTCTAGTCACGTCACTATCTTTGTGCATTCCAGCCAATTAAGTTTTTTATGCCTCCCTTAAAATGTGCTCTCTGGAAATGGAACACAGAATTTCAGATGCAATACAAAAGGGAGTAAATTTTAATTTGTTTATTTAATTATTGTGACTAAAAATTACATAAGGCATCAAAAAGTTCCTGGAAAAATAGAACTAAAAAATAATGTATACTGGCATTTTTGTTTGGGGCCAATTTTAAACCCAAGATCTATTTCATCAAAAATGCTTGGAAAACCATTTTAGTTTGAAAAATTATTAAAGGCTCATGAAAAATTTCATTTTAAGCTAAGAGTGATTTTGAAGAAAAGATTTAAATTAAGTATAACAGCAATTCAACAGCTCCAAAACTAAAGTTCTCACTATGTAGATGCTGCATTTCAGTCTGAAGACATGTAGAACATACCTCTTTAATAAAATACTTGGTTTTCCACGGTGTGCCTGTTTCAGTCCGGTGCCTTTCTTCGGTTCTCTGGCGTTCTTCCAGGGTACGTTTATGCTCTGTAGCCTTATCAATTTCAGATTCCCTCAGAGAGTCTGTCACGTTTTTCCATAAGCGTCTGAAATGACAAAATCACATACTTTACACACTTTCTTGAAAATAAACAGAATCGATAAATTCAAAATGACAGTAACTAAAACAAAACAACAAAAAACTACACGGAATGAAAATGGATTAAATGCACCAGTCAAGAGACAGAGAATATCAGAATCGGTAACAAAACAGAATCTTTTAATATACTGTCTACAAGAGATATATCAAAAAGATGGAGACAGCCTAAATGCCCATCAACAGAAAAATGGTTAAACAAACTTTGGTACATACACACAATGGAGTATTACACAACAAAGAAAATTAGCAATGAATCTGAGCAACAGGGATGATGCTAGAGGACATTGTTGTTGTAGTTATTGTTAAGTGCCATAGAGTCGATCCCAACCCATAGCAACCCTGCATAGGGTTTCTAAGGAGCAGCTGGTGAGCTTTAACTACTGACCCTGCAGTTCATACCAACTTTGCAGTCCAGTGCACTAACCCACAGTACCACACCAGGACTCCTGGAGGACATTATGCTGACTGAAACTGATCAATCACAAAAGGACAAATGTTGTATGAGTTCAATGTCGCAAAAAAGTTAAGAAAAGATTTTCTTGATAAAAGAAACAATCTATGATGGTTATTGGGGAGGGGATGGGAAAATTATTCACAGGCTAGAGGGGAGACATATGCTAACATGGGTGATGGGACAGGCAGTATACAGTAAGAAGGAGGTGAGCAGATGAAAGACGAAGGTAGTGGGAGACTCGGGGGAATGCAATCACTGTATGGAAGCAAGGTATATGATTCGATTAATGTAAAACTCATGATCTGCTCTATAAACCTTCACACAATTCACAATAAAAAATGGGAAAAAAAAGTTTATTAAATCTGATATATGAGGGTGCCTCAAGAAGTTTGTGGGAAAATTCCA